TCACCCAATTTTTTAATAAGGATGGGGTGGGAGATAGTGTCAAATCTGTGGTTTTCTCCATTTTTCTGTGGGAAACGAAAACCTGGATCCCTGGTCATAATCAAATTTTCTCATTTGCTTTTTGTACCTTGGCTTAAGTAATCATTCAAAATGATTCAAAGCACTCAGAATGACTTTTCTGTTACCAGCGTGGCTTATTTCTGACTGAAAAGATTTCTTTTTTCCTAAAAGAAAATCTTTTTGCCCTCTTCTTCCACCTAGTCATTTTTTAAATTGTCTTGCTAGTTGTTTTTTTTCTTTTTTCTATGTGCTACTCTTCCTCTTCTGTCTTGCACTGTATTATTTAAGTGTTGCTATAATTGGAAAGTCAAGGCAAAAACTTGGAGCTTTGTATATAATCAGAGTTATAGTGCATGCTGTTCTTATTTGGACACCTGAGCTTGCCATCCCAAGGATAAGATAAAGTTGTGATGTTGGATTTAGTCACAGGAGCCTGTAGTTCATTCTTCTCTAAAAGGAACCAAAGATGCTGTTAGAGTAAGGTATAGTTAGTGTAGCTACTAAAGAATTGTCATCATAACTAGAAGGTGAAAGCTTCTAATGTCACCTGAATGTTCTGATGATAAAAAGGCTTAATTTTCTGGCCCCAATTCAGGAAAACATTCCTAATAAGTGCAATGTTTGAACAGCACACAGGTTAAATTTAGCACTAGCTTAAATTGCCTTGTGAAAACATTGTCTCTAAAGCGGGTATTTCAGTGCTTTGTTAATGAGGAATGGTGGCTGTAAACCTATACATTACTATGTTACTGAATTCCAGTTGGTGTCAGCATTCAGACACACTCAGGCTTATGTCAGAATGTTGTTTTTTAAACTTTTTTTTCCTGCTTCTTTGTGACAGGTTTATTTATCACACATATGAAATATGGAAGAGTTGCTGTTTTTAAAAGTGGACTAAAATACTACTTTTCATTATTATCCTTTTTTTTTAAACAGATTACTGTGTTCCATGTTGGGTCAGATGAACATCAAGATATTGATGTTGCAATACTCACAGCACTGTTAAAAGGTGAAGTTTAAAATTAAGAGTCTTTAACAAGTCCAGCAATTACTGGTTGTGTTAAATGTGTATATTTTTCTATTTTCATTTATAAAGTACTGTACTTAGAAGTTTGAGATTTTTAGTTCAAATGTTCTATAGTGTTATAGTGACACATATGTGTGGGTTTTTTTTATGTAAATGTGTTTTCAGTCAGTTCAGGGAGAATTCATGTTTTAATATTCTTTTAAAATGTATGGGGGGAAAAAAGAAAAATATTAAGAGTTTCACATTATAACCATTATAAAATATATGTGTATGTTTTGTTTCCTTTAGGCACAAATGCATCTGCACTTGACCAGCTTGTCCTTACACTGGCGTGGGATCGAGTTGACATTGCCAAAAATCATGTTTTTGTTTATGGGCAACAGTGGCTGGTATGTAAACACTCTAGATAAAACACTGTGGTATTTTATAGGACAAAAGCTAAATTTTATTGGAAAGAATGAATCTTTTGAATCTGTAGAAATAGTCTGTATAATACTGCCATTTTTAGAAGAGTGGTTTTGAAGAGCAGTCTGAACACTTAAATGCCTATAGTTATTGTGTTCTTTTATTTACTTACTTGCACTAAAAAACTATCCAGGAATCTTAAAAATGTGGTAAACATTCCAAATAAGTTGAGGGGGAACTGTCATGGTAAAAGTTGAAAACTTTAACTCTGATGTATCACACTTTGCAGTATTTACTTGGACTTCTTTAATACTGCTCTCATTTGGAAGGAATAGAATATTGAACTTTACTGTCTATTACTGTGGTTCTCAACCTTTTTGGGGTCAAGGCATGCCACCTCCATCTTTTTGAATGTGTAGCATCCCTAGCTGCGAACCACTGTTGGTGCCGGGTGGTTCTCAGCCCGGTTTCATTGTTTCCAGATGAAACTGCCCTGTGCGCCTGCTGCACAGCCAGCCTGGGAAGGGCTGTGCCATGTATGTGTGCTCCTCCTGCAATAGGGGTCTCTAATCAACTTAAAGCAGGCAGGAGCTGCCTTGTCTGGTTACTTGGTCTGGTACCCACTACAGTCCTCCCAGAAACAGAAACAAATGGAACAGTTCCACATGCTTCCTGTTTCTGGGAGCAACATAGGTGGTACTGGAATAGGAAGCACTACACAGCACCAGGCAGCTTTGCTGCCTCCCTGAGGCTGATGAGAGGGCCTTAATGAAGAGGGATTGTGCAGGGCAGTTTTACATGGCTACCACTGCTGCCACGGTACTTGAGTGCCATGGCATCCTGGTTAAGAACCAGTAGTCTACAGGTTTATTCTTTATGGCTTATAAACTGGTTTAGGTAGGCACCAAGTTTCAGATGTTGATTTCCCTTGTTACCTTAACAAAATAGTCTTGTGGTACTTTTTAGTCAAAGTACAGGGATATTGTTGTGGCAGTAATTTCTGTTTGGAATTGATGGTGCTTCTGAGGGGTAGCAGCAGATTTGTTTTACAAACTAGTAATGACAAGGTGTTAAATGTCCTGTTACTATTTGTTTTCTTATAGCTGTGTAAAATAAAGCCTCTCAATTTTTTTTTTTTAAAAAGTAGTTTTAGAGGA